CCGCAGAACCCATGAAGCGCAGGGTTTGCAACGGTGAAGATACGCGCGCGCCTACTTCACACCCGCTCAACTAATACTTCCTGCGCCTTCGTCCTGCAGTAGTTTTCTTCCATGCTGTCATAACACCACTACCGCGAATAAAAAGCAGCCGGGCGCGAAATTCACAAGCGTGCGCGTGGTCAATTTCACTCATAAATTGTGGGCAACGACTAGTTTGATAGACCATTTTACCTCTTCCTCCTTTTTTGCGCTTGTCTTCCATCCGTCGTTGATATTCTCGAGAAGTGCTTCAAAAATCGCTAGGTAAGAACTGCTGCATGACCAAGGCGCAGAAGCAGAATTAACAAAGCGGGCCGCGGCGCGCGCGTATCTTCACCGTTGTCAATCTTGCGCCTCACAGCTAGTAAAGCCGCGTTCGCGTCCAAAAGTATTGCGCCTTCGTCATACAGCAGCCTTTATCTTTTTGGGCATCATTGATTATTTATGATTTGCATATGGCATGGGCATTGCAAAGAGTTTTCTCTGGGCGCAGAGATTGATCATTCTCAATTTGCAATGTTTTTAATTCAGAGCACAGCAATAACGAACTACACGGGTAGAGCCAGTGAACCGACGCAAACTACGCTTTGCAGACGAGACAGCAATGCGGTAAATTTTCTTTGTGTATCGTTATCTCACTCTTTCATCGTCTTGTAGGTTTTTGACCAAAGTCCTTCGAATCTCAAACGCTGTGTATCCTGCGAACGAAGAGGTGACACTCCTCTTCCAAGAACTGCAAGCAGAAAACTGCGACGAGAAAAGAGCGAGCGCCTCGTGAACAGGTAAAACTTTCACTTATACTGCAGTCTGAGATCTGTTACTCATGGAATTATTCTCAAAATTGTAGGAAGCCGAAGTTTAAGAGCCCTCCGAAGCCAAAAGCGATTTCCGCTGCAAAGGAACGTCGTGGTGTAAAAGTACTTGGAATCATTCTAGGATGTTTTACTGTCTGTTGGACACCATTTTTCGTGTGAGTAGTTACAAACAACTTCGAGTAAGGTGGGGGAGGAGAGAGGGACACACAGACATGCTCGAATTGTTTTACAACTTTGACTATATCAAATAACGCAATAAAACTTGCTCAGCTTCCCTAAAATCATAGCATCAAAAACAATTAACATTACTCGATTATAGACAAAAAAACTTTTATA